AATCACAGGAAGTCAACAGGTTGACAAAAAAATCACACATTTAGAATTTAACGCCTTCCTTAAGAGCATCCGGTTTTTAGTGTTTCATGAAACTTGAGTGTCATATTAGAGTCGGTCTTCTTACCTGAGACCATGGCTGAAGGAGTAAAGGTGAAGCAAGGAAACAAAAGAGGACACATAATGCTTAATCAGAAGAAAGCTGCAGGTCACATGATAAAGCACCAGGACCGTGCCGCAGCAGCTCTGCATGAGATCTAGTTCAGGACGGAGTTTACGCTCTACTTACATTTCAGGTGTTGCCCCAGCTGAGATAAGTCCCAACACAGGCAGAAGTTGGCGGGTTACAACCTGGACTGTTGAAATCTGTAAAGTCTTTCTATGTGATTTTTCAAACTTAAATATATAAATCAAGTCTATCCTCTGAAAATAACTCTGTGAGTCATGACTGTCTACAATGGGTGTAACACCCGAGTCCCACTGTCTGTGATGTTTTCAGAGTTTTCAGAGTCCTATCTTCACTTTGTTTACATCGCCCGGACGGCCGGCTGACTCCTCCCCTCGTGTATAAAAGTTGTTTAATTGAGGGACTAGAGAAAAGAAGAATAACATACTGTACTCACTGCTTAACTGTGTTTCTAGATCACGCTCATTTCAGGTAAATTTACATGCAGTGTGAAGATACCAGCATAATAAAGATCACTAGCATTAGCATGCTAACACAACAATGCAGCGGGAGTTGTTTTGGTTTCATGCTGGTGCTCAAGGGCGACATCTGCTGGATCAAAACATCACATATAAAGCCTTTAATGTCATGGATTAATTTATCATTCTTTCATATCTAATTTTTAACTTTTATATGAAAAATTAAGACGCAGGAATAAAGGTGGTCAGCATTGTTATCCTCGTCTCATATCGACTTGTCAATGCATGCTCCACCAATCAGAAACACACACACCTGTGTACCTGTGTGCAAAATATAACACAGATTTCTCACCTTTGTGGTCCCAGAAAAGAGCGCTGGTCGTCCGCGGCCCGTCTGACGTCAGGAAGAAGGAGCTGATCTTCATGCAGTTCAGTCACAATGAAACCGAGGAGGACTTCAGCGCCATCACCTACATGCTCTTTGCAAAGTTCAGCGACTTGAATGACAGGTAACCGCAAACAGCTGAAGCAGCCATTTAAAGGTCGATTGAGTTGGACGATATTCAACTGACGCCTTGTGTTTCGACCCCGTCTGATTGCTGTTTTTGTTTTTCTGTCTCTTTAGCGCGAATGAATCCGTGTTCATGAAGGACTGCGAGAAGAATTACTCCATGTGGACTTTCTCCGGAGGGTTCAGAACCTGGGTCAAAATGTCTTTAGTGAAGACGGCGGGGAAGAGCGAGGAGGCCGTCGAGTTTCGACAAGAGGTATCTATGTCCTCCGAGCGTGTTGAGTAAACGTCAACATGTCGGGAGCAGATTTCACAAAGCGTGTTCCCTCTTCTAGTCGGCTGTGGTGAAATTCAACGACAAGCGGCCGGAGGCGGAGCAAACCAATCAGCTGTTCTTTGTCGTCTTTGAATGGCGGGATCCTTATGTGCAAGAAATCAAACTGGTGAGTCCTGAAATCGATCCTTACTCAAAGTGATCGCTCTGCTTCAGTTATAAAAACACATTTCTTTTTCTTTTTAAATGATTTTATTTAGAATCACACTCATTTTAAGACAGAATACTCGTTATGCCTCCGGTCACAAACAATCTGTAATGAACTGAGTCCATTTGTTGGTGCAAAGCCGCTTCACCTAGTGTGGTAGTCTTGTCCCGGTCTCAGACTGGGCGGACCACCGGTCAAGACCGCCACTGACCGTCTATTTTTCCACGTCATCACTTTGATGAGAAGAAAACGTCTAAAAGAACAAATAACTTCAATTAATTTATAGTTTTTTTTAAGATTTATTTTTGGGCTTTTTTGTGCCTTTAATGGAGAGACAGGACAGAGGATAGAGTCAGAAATCAGGGAGAGAGAGAGAGTGGGGAATGACATACGGGAAAGGAGCCACAGGCTGGATTCGAACCCGGGCCGTACATGGGGCGCGCACACTACCCACTGGCCCACCAGCGCCCCATAATATGTAGTTTTATCCCTTGGTAACGTCCACAACATTCCTCTCACCTCTCTTCTTCCTTAGAGATGCTGACATGTGTCCCTCTCCATCTGTCTCTCTCTTCCAATCAGATCGTTACTGCTAACCCCTGGAGCTCCGTGGCCATCCTCTGCGGCGTCTTCATGGCGCTCTTCAAGGCCGCTAACTTTGCCAAGCTGTCCGTCCAGTGGATCATCAGAATGCGCAAGAGGCATCTGAGGAACAAGGCGCGAGAAATGAACCCCATCACTGACAGCTGAAGAGCTGAGCGGGGGCGTGTCTTAACTGACTTTTGAGGGAGTGGCCTAAAGTGTGACGAGCACACAAACAAACACTATTAAATATGAATTATTAACCCTTTCCTACCTCACCCAATCATATCTACTTTATAACACCAGATAAAGACAACTTTAGTTAAATGTTCTAATGACACAAAAAGAAGATTTATGATCAAAGTCAAAATTTAAAGTGCTTGCAAACTCCTGCACAGTCATGTTGCCAGTTAGTTCATTGTAAATAAGACAGATTACTTTACTTCCCCATGATCCTGTCTTATTAAATAGATGTGCAAAGATTTTATTTACAATTTAAAGTACAAAAAATATATATTCTACAAAGATATGTGAAGAAAAATACGAGAAGCCTGCTGCAGTTAGTTTAAACAAAAGTCCCGCCTCCGACAGGGCAGAAAGCCAATCAGATTTCTGGGGGGGGGGCCCATGCCGCCCCTCTGGACACGCCCCTGGAGCTCACACAGTCTGACCAGATCTGAATGATCAGTGACATCATTAATGTGTCCTGACTGAAAATGTCCAGATTTATTATGTTCCTCAAAATGGTCAAAACTTCTCTGAATTTATAGTTTTATTTTTGCATTTCATAAATATTTTCCTGAACATTCCTGGAAATTAAGTTTCTGTAGGCGGCGCACATGAAAGAAAAAAGTTGCTGAAGGCGGAGACGCTCGTTTTGTACGTTGTGGGTTCGAGAGCTTTTTAAAGAACGTTTCAAGTTTTAAACTGTTTCTAAAAATGTGAAGTTTGTTCAAAATGTTGCTGGATTTGTTTTATCATTAATCTTACTCTAAAGGGAATGTGTGTGTGTGTGTGTGTGTGTGTGTGTGTGTGTGTGTGTGTGTGTGTGTGTGTGTGTGTGTGTGTGTGTGTGTGTGTGTGTGTGTGTGTGTGTGTGTGTGTGTGTGTGTGTGTGTGTGTGTGTGTGTGTGTGTGTGTGTGTGTGTGTGTGTGTGTGTGTGTGTGTGTGTGCGTGCGTGCTTCTTATTGAAGAACATTTCATGATTATTTGACAGAACATAAAGTGAGTTCCTCTTCCTCCGTCACAGAGATCTGATGTTTATTTTTTCCTCATGTAGTCTGAAACTGTCCGTCTGTCTCCCTGCTGAGGTTTTTATCTGATTGTAGTAAACCAATGATCTGTGTGTGTTTGTCGCTGTTAAATTTGTACTTGAATTAACGTCTTGATTGTGTGGTGGTCAGTATTTTATTCAGAGCTTTCTTTTGAGATAAATAAAAAAACAAACATTCAAAGTGAGTTTTACAGTCTGTGTTGATCTCTTGATTTTATTGTATAAATATTAAAGTGAATGTTAGAGCTGCTCAACTTCAACCTCTGTAATTAACATAACCAGTCGTCTCAGTCTTATCATCACTACAGGTGTCAACGTCAATATCAGACTGATCAGTTTGTTATCACACTTCATGTTCCTGCTGCACAAACTGTTACTGTTATACCTGACGCTGTAGCTTTACATTTATCTTACCTGTTGTTATTGTTGTTGTTGTTGCTCTGTTTGTCTGTCTCCTTCTTCCTGCATCTCCCTCTATCCAACTTTCAAGTGCAAACTGTCTAACTTCCAATGGACTAAATTGACAATACATTTATTTTTGGTAAATTAGACAGAGTACAAAAGTTAAAATTGTGACTTTGCACATAATCTTTGTTTTTGAGTCCCTAAAGAATCAAGCTGAGGCGATGAATTGTCAAATTAAGTTACTAACAAGAACATTTTATTAATGAAACAAAATAATAATAATTTGCATGTGTGTGCCCACAAACTTCAGTCAGTGCTCCAAATCTGGACACGCCCCTTCCTGTACTAAACATTAAACATATAAAACGTTTTCTTGGTGAACACAGAAACATAAAGAACAACTTCAGTTTAATCTGAAGGGGATGAAGCTGATAAAAGTCAGCAAACACCTCTGCTTTACCTGGGTCACCTTTACTGTTGTAGTTTCCCTGAGCTGCGCTGTTCTTGAACGCTCCCCGTTTGTAGTTTCCGGTTGGGGCGGGGGGGGGCGAGGACCCGGATGTTGTTGTTAGCTTCAGCGGTGGAGATGCAGTAGCTACACATCTGGATGTTATAAAGGTAGCAAACAGTCATGTTTTCTTATGTGAAAAATGTCCAGAATCATTGTATCGGAGCTGTTCTCCCTCACATTTTATAATAACTGAATTATTATTATTATTATTATTATTATTTAGCAACACAAGCGGCGCTCCTCACTAGCATGTTTTTACTAGCATGCTAACCTGTTTGTAGCATTAACTAAACAGTTCAGATTAATGTTTTTAAACAATGTTTGTATTGTTCGTTGGTTTAATCATCTTTTTGTCTGCTTTATGACTGATGGCATGCAGCGACACTAAATATACTGATCGACTTCAACAGCTAAGTTAGCTACAACAATGCTAACAACAGAGTTAGCTCACCTTTAAACTTCGATCAGCTGTTTGATTCCTTCTCATGTTTCATCTTGTTTGATTCCTTCTGATGTTTCATCTTGTTTGATTCCTTCTCATGTTTCATGTTGTTTGATTCCTTCTCATGTTTCATCTTGTTTGATTCCTTCTCATGTTTCATCTTGTTTGATTCCTTCTCATGTTTCATCTTGTTTGATTCCTTCTCATGTTTCATCTTGTTTGATTCCTTCTGATGTTTCATGTTGTTTGATTCCTTCTCATGTTTCATCTTGTTTGATTCCTTCTCATGTTTCATCTTGTTTGATTCCTTCTGATGTTTCATCTTGTTTGATTCCTTCTGATGTTTCATCTTGTTTGATTCCTTCTGATGTTTCATCTTGTTTGATTCCTTCTGATGTTTCATCTTGTTTGATTCCTTCTGATGTTTCATGTTGTTTGATTCCTTCTGATGTTTCATCTTGTTTGATTCCTTCTGATGTTTCATCTTGTTTGATTCCTTCTGATGTTTCATCTTGTTTGATTCCTTCTGATGTTTCATCTTGTTTGATTCCTTCTGATGTTTCATGTTGTTTGATTCCTTCTCATGTTTCATCTTGTTTGATTCCTTCTCATGTTTCATCTTGTTTGATTCCTTCTGATGTTTCATGTTGTTTGATTCCTTCTGATGTTTCATCTTGTTTGATTCCTTCTGATGTTTCATCTTGTTTGATTCCTTCTGATGTTTCATCTTGTTTGATTCCTTCTGATGTTTCATCTTGTTTGATTCCTTCTCATGTTTCATCTTGTTTGATTCCTTCTCATGTTTCATCTTGTTTGATTCCTTCTCATGTTTCATCTTGTTTGATTCCTTCTGATGTTTCATCTTGTTTGATTCCTTCTGATGTTTCATCTTGTTTGATTCCTTCTGATGTTTCATCTTGTTTGATTCCTTCTCATGTTTCATCTTGTTTGATTCCTTCTGATGTTTCATCTTGTTTGATTCCTTCTGATGTTTCATCTTGTTTGATTCCTTCTGATGTTTCATCTTGTTTGATTCCTTCTCATGTTTCATCTTGTTTGATTCCTTCTGATGTTTCATCTTGTTTGATTCCTTCTGATGTTTCATCTTGTTTGATTCCTTCTGATGTTTCATCTTGTTTGATTCCTTCTGATGTTTCATCTTGTTTGATTCCTTCTGATGTTTCATGTTGTTTGATTCCTTCTCATGTTTCATCTTGTTTGATTCCTTCTGATGTTTCATCTTGTTTGATTCCTTCTGATGTTTCATCTTGTTTGATTCCTTCTGATGTTTCATGTTGTTTGATTCCTTCTCATGTTTCATCTTGTTTGATTCCTTCTGATGTTTCATCTTGTTTGATTCCTTCTCATGTTTCATCTTGTTTGATTCCTTCTCATGTTTCATCTTGTTTGATTCCTTCTCATGTTTCATCTTGTTTGATTCCTTCTCATGTTTCATCTTGTTTGATTCCTTCTCATGTTTCATCTTGTTTGATTCCTTCTCATGTTTCATCTTGTTTGATTCCTTCTCATGTTTCATCTTGTTTGATTCCTTCTCATGTTTCATCTTGTTTGATTCCTTCTCATGTTTCATCTTGTTTGATTCCTTCTCATGTTTCATCTTGTTTGATTCCTTCTCATGTTTCATGTTGTTTGATTCCTTCTGATGTTTCATCTTGTTTGATTCCTTCTGATGTTTCATCTTGTTTGATTCCTTCTCATGTTTCATCTTGTTTGATTCCTTCTGATGTTTCATCTTGTTTGATTCCTTCTCATGTTTCATCTTGTTTGATTCCTTCTCATGTTTCATCTTGTTTGATTCCTTCTCATGTTTCATGTTGTTTGATTCCTTCTCATGTTTCATCTTGTTTGATTCCTTCTGATGTTTCATCTTGTTTGATTCCTTCTGATGTTTCATCTTGTTTGATTCCTTCTCATGTTTCATCTTGTTTGATTCCTTCTCATGTTTCATGTTGTTTGATTCCTTCTCATGTTTCATCTTGTTTGATTCCTTCTGATGTTTCATCTTGTTTGATTCCTTCTCATGTTTCATCTTGTTTGATTCCTTCTGATGTTTCATCTTGTTTGATTCCTTCTCATGTTTCATCTTGTTTGATTCCTTCTCATGTTTCATCTTGTTTGATTCCTTCTGATGTTTCATCTTGTTTGATTCCTTCTCATGTTTCATCTTGTTTGATTCCTTCTCATGTTTCATCTTGTTTGATTCCTTCTCATGTTTCATCTTGTTTGATTCCTTCTGATGTTTCATGTTGTTTGATTCCTTCTCATGTTTCATCTTGTTTGATTCCTTCTCATGTTTCATCTTGTTTGATTCCTTCTCATGTTTCATGTTGTTTGATTCCTTCTGATGTTTCATGTTGTTTGATTCCTTCTCATGTTTCATCTTGTTTGATTCCTTCTCATGTTTCATGTTGTTTGATTCCTTCTCATGTTTCATGTTGTTTGATTCCTTCTCATGTTTCATGTTGTTTGATTCCTTCTCATGTTTCATCTTGTTTGATTCCTTCTCATGTTTCATCTTGTTTGATTCCTTCTCATGTTTCATCTTGTTTGATTCCTTCTCATGTTTCATGTTGTTTGATTCCTTCTCATGTTTCATGTTGTTTGATTCCTTCTCATGTTTCATCTTGTTTGATTCCTTCTCATGTTTCATCTTGTTTGATTCCTTCTCATGTTTCATGTTGTTTGTGTTTGAAACTGGATATAAAGTCATGAAGGAGTAGATAAACAAGTTCCTCTTGTTCAACTTTGTGCAGATCTTCATCTTCTTCATCTTCTTCTTCTTCTTCATCTTCATCTTCTTCTTCTTCATCTTCATCTTCTTCTTCACTTATTATTGATAATTTAAGAGGCTGAACTTTAACTTTCAGATGATAAATAAACTCTCAGAACCTGCTGAGCAGCTTAATGTTCTTACTGTAAACCACCTGAAGCTCCTGCAGCTCATGTTTGTGTTTGTTTGTTTGTTTGTTTGTTTGTTTGGTGTCTTGCAGCCTGCATGCTGCCCCCCTAGTAACAAATAACTTCCCTTATTTGCACTATATCTCTATATCTATATTTGTTTACCTAATCAGTTACTGCTCAATATTAACTGTGTATATTCTTTCAGTCAACACAACTGTCTATTTATTTATTATTATTATTATCATTCATTCACTGAACAGAAATTGCTCTGGCCACTTTTTGCATACTTCTCTTTCATATCACCACAGATATATTTTTGTTGTTGTTGTTTTTGTAAACGCTGCTGTTTAAGATTGCTGCTCACAAAGTTTCGTTGTGTCCTTGTATACAATGATAATAAAGATTCTATCATCTATAGAGATTCAGTGAAAGGAAAGATTATGAGCCTTGATTTATGTTACATTATAAATATCCTCCCTCTGCTGCTTCTGGATACAATACAATAGAATAGAATAGAATAGAATTACTTTATTGATCCTAAACTGGGAAATTGTGGCGTTACAGCAGCAGGTTGTTCAAACACACAATATGAGCAAAAAACTCAATATAATATTAAATACAAAGTAAATGAGCACTAAAAATATCAAAACTAAGAATGAGAATATATACAACCAGGATTTAACTAAACATTACTAGTCTTAAATATGAAGACTATTTAAGACTTTAAATACCTTATCTTATTTTACCTTATCTTATTTTATCTTATTTTACCTTATTCTGGTTGTATTGCACCGCGGGACGGAGACAAACACAATTTCAATTCCACTGTATGTCTGACATATTTTGAAATTGACAATAAAGTTGACTTTGACTTTGAAGATTAAATGTAAATGTGCAAGAACAGAGTTGTAAATGGACAGTATTGACATCAGTTAAAGTGCATGAGTGTAGACATGTTATCAGCAGAAACTATTCAATATAACGGCGAGTAGACAGACAAATGAAGTGAACATGAGTGCAGGGATCATTTGTAAATGTAACATGTGCAGAACAGATTACAGTATGAAAGGGAGGAAGGAGACACAGTGAAGGAGGGGCTGTGGAGCATTAATTCATAATGCCATAAACAGAATATAGGCCTCACTAATGAACGAGATGTTATACCAAATCCTTCCTCATGGCCTTTACTAGCTCTGATCTATATTAAACTTTAATACTTTGAAGTTAGGTCATTCAATTTGGTGCGGATGAGTCAGCTGTGCCCCACACAATTGTCTATTTTCTCCTATTATTCATTTTTAAGAAAGCAAAGCGAGGGAAATTTATTTATACAGCAACTTTCAGCACCAAGGCAATTCAAAGTGCTTCACAAAAAACATTGAAAGCATCATGACAAACGGAGAAATACATAAAAAGAGGCGCATGGATAAATTATAAACAGCAAAAACAGGAGTTAAAATGTAATAAGACAGTTTCAAAATAAATTAAAAGTTACAGTGCAGTGTAGAACTGTAAAACAATAAAAAAATTGTATCGTGATTAATCACATTTTTAATCGCATGCTTGAAAGTCCATTATTTTGCATTTAAAAATTAAACTTGTGAGGCTTTTATTTTTAACCTGAGAGTACTGTACGCTTTGTGCTTTTACTTTGAAATAACGTAAGGGGTGGCTGTGGCTCAGTGTTAGACTCGGCCGTGTCTCAACCGTAAGGTCTGGGGTTTGATACCCAGCTCCTGCAGCAACATGTCCGCTGTGTCCTTAGGCAAGACACTTAACCCTGGTGATCGAGTCGAGACCAAGACCATAAATATCTCTGAAAAATCCTCATCTTGTGTTTAGGGGGCGTGTCTCTCACTTAGACCGTAACAACAGGAAGGTTGCGTTAAAAAATATAAAACAAACTACAAATGAATTAAAGGTATTTGCTCTTTTAAAAAGAGTCGTTTTCCTTCTGACAAACAACCGATCAGTGGTGGTCTTGATTTAAAATCTGGAGTCTGCCCAGTCTGAGACCAGGACACCTTCAAAAGGTGGTCTCGAGACCGGTCTTGAGACAATGACTGATTTCTACAACACTAGGTGGGTCGTGTAAATGTTCAGAACTCGATACTCAGATATTCACTTTTCCTCTCTGGGTCACATTTGAACAGATATGGTTTGATGTTTGTTTTTTTTGTGTTAAAGTTTTTTGCTTTCAAAGACTTCCAAACTTTTCTAAACTTCCATTCATACCATGGTGTATAAATGAGTAACACTCCAGAATGGATCTGGGACCACACATGGTCCGCTGCGTCCTGAGGAGGTGATGTTAGTGTAGAAGAAGCCATCAACCACACACGGGCGTAACCTCCGTGGCGTTTGGCCTCGATGCCTGGCGTTACTTTCCCACCCTGTTTGTAGACCTTCAACATGTCCAGACTTAGCCGCAGTGCTGCCCCGGCTCTGCTGTCGACGGGTCACACTGAGCTGCTCCATCAGCAGACTAGAATTAGACCAGCATCCAGCTTGAACTCTGTGCTGGCATTCGGGCTGCGGTGCCGAGGAATGTTGTTGAATAGCGAGGCGACGTTGTTCAGAGAAGATGAGCCGTGAGCTCCCTCGTCCGTGTTCGTTTGTTGAGGTGTTGCTAAAAGCTCAGAAACATTCACTCTCTCTCCACAAAATACAGAACTCTGTTTCTTTCTTCTTCATAAACTAACAATTTGTTTTTTCTTCTTCTCTGTTTACGACCGACAGTGGGCTGATCTCCACTCACCATCAAGATGGCGAGAGACCGAAAGTGCATCCTCTGTGAAACAGTCCACGTCTCCAAGCAGGTAACTCACCTCCACATGTGTGTCATGTCTGTAAGACCACACATTCAGGAGCTCGCTCTCTGCTCATATCAAAAATATAAACTATTTAAAGTATTCAGGGTGAGACAAAAAATAAACTCTCAAATATTTTTTTATTTTATTTTATTTTATTTTATTTTATTTTATTTTTTTATTTATTTTTTATTTTTTATTATTACTGGATGAAACCTCTGTTAGGATTTGTTTCACATCACCCTCATGGTTTAGTGTTTGCTTTGATAAACTACATTATTTGCTGCGTTGGCTAGCCTAGTGGTTATGACCATAGACTGTAAATATAAAAGGATGTAGCCTGAGTGAGGCCACTAGTCTGTTCCTGCAGGGGGCGCAGGAGTCCCGTCGATGGCGGTCTCCATGTTGGAAATGATGTCTCAGTCTAACTTTCAGTCAACCTAACGACAGGCTGAGAGCAATCAAAACAAAGCCATCAGTTCACCCCCTGTACAGTGTGCACCAATGATGACATTTTTCAAGGCCTGAGGTTGCCGCTTGGTTATGACACACGTACAGAGGCTGTAGTCCCCTTCACAGCGTGTGTTTGAAACCGTCCTCGTCGACCTTTTGCTGAATGTATGCATGTCACCCCCCACTCCCCACATGTCCTGTCTCTCCTCAGCTGTCATATCTGATGAAGACAAACACGGCCACAAAAAATAACTAACTAATAATTATAGTTGAAAATAACTTCACCTGTTTGGAAATTGTTTTTAAATTTGGTGTTCTGATCGTTTGTTTAGCTGAAGTTGTAGAAACATTTTCTTGCAGTGGAGCGTTCGTCATGAAGAGTTTTCTCTGGGAAGCTTTTTGAATGTCTCTATCACACATGGTTCAGAACTTCTGAGACATACAAACTTGTTTATTTACCTCTAACAGAAACATTTTGTATCTGCTGTGTTTGTGCAGGAGATGGATGAGCACATGAGAAGTATGCTGCACCACAGAGAGCTGGAGAAGCTCAAAGGCCGGTATGTTTCAAAAAACAACAAACACACACAACATGCACAGATCTGTATCCGTTATCACAGCTTTTATTTCCACTCTGACTTTCTGAAATCACTCGTATGCTTCTTCCTTATCCGTGAGCAGAGTCACAAAAGTTGCAAAAAACACTCGACATGTTACCACAAATGCATCGTCAAAGGATAGAACATGTAAGATTCAAATGAAAGCTTCGACTTTCTTTCCAGTCTTTTCTCCAAATTGATCTGGGTCACGGGGCACGTGTGCACAGAGGCACGTGTTCATCACAAGTGGACGAACGGGCAGCTGCCTCATCTGTGGCACACATATATATTTAGACACAATCTCTCCGGAACAACGGGCATGACCGAGAGAGAAGGCAACTGGCTATCTCATGACCGCCATGTAGATTACTAATGGTATGCAGCCTGTCGCTGAGACGGAGGAATCTGGAGCCCCGGGGCTGCTGCTGCTACATCGCTGAGATTTTATAAAACCCTGATGTGCAACTACAGATACTTATTAATGCAGATTATTTAGATTACTTATTTGAAACATGTGCAGGAAGAAAAACTTTTTTATTTTATTTTTATTTTAAGATTTTTTTTTGGGCCTTTTGGGCCTTTGGAGAGATAGGGCAGTGGATAGAGTCGGAAATCAGGGAGAGAGAGAGAGAGGGGAATGACATGCAGGAAAGGAGCCACAGGCCCCCCCCAAAAAAAAAAAAAAAAAGAAAAAGACATTTTTAAAATGAACAAAAAGTGCACGTTGAGTTAAACCTGTGGTCCTCAACTCGTCTAGCATCAGGACTCGTCCACCAGCTCCTCCCTGAGAAATCACAACCCAACTTTTCAGCAATTTTTCTACCAGTCAGAATAAAAAGAATTGTGCAGTTTGGACCTCAGACGGTAAAAAACGTGATGGAAGCAAGAAACTGAACAAAACAAATAAGTTTTTCGAAGTTGCTTCAAAGAGTTTTTGACACATTTTTCTTCCAGGCACACATTCTCGACTCGCTTTAGGGTCCCGACCCTCCAGTTGAGAAGCACTGATTTAGAAGTCAGTGTGTAGGAATGAGAGATGTAGAGCTTTGCTTTATCTGAAGCTGAAGTTGATGTGAGGTCCATGCTGACTCTTAATCCTCATGCATTTTTGTCCATTTGGTGAAATGTTTCCTCTTCATCTGGCCATCATTTTGTCTGTTAGTGCATATGGCACACATTTTTTGTAAGAAAGTCTCTCTTGACACATTTTGGAATGCACATTTTTTTTAAAATAGATCAATAGAACACTGAAACATGTTTACTCCCCTCTGAAGTCACTAAGGACAAAAATGTCCACTTCCAAAAAACTGCTTTAAAAATAGAACAGATTGATATTTTCTTTTGTATAAATCTCTTAAACACCTTCAGCCCTGCTCAAAAAGATAAATATTGAATAATTATCAGGAATTTAACCCTTTAAATGCCAGAATCATGTAATCAAACTGGCATTTAAAGGGTTAAATTCCTAAAAATGATTGAATGTTTGGTAGTTTTGAGCAGGGCTGAAGTTGTTTAAGAGATTTATGCAAAAAAAAAAAAAGTAGAAATAAATATCAATCTGTTCTATTTTTATATCAGTTTTTTGGAAGTGGACATTTTTGTCCTTAGTGACTTAAGAGGGTCGTAAATTAAACTGATGCCTGAGGGTTAAAATGTCAATTCCAGCATTTACCTGCCGAGTGTTTTAAAGATTTAGGTGTTTTTTTTCCACATATTTGAATGATTGCACCTGTGATGGATCTCTGTAGATGTACAGACATGCAGCTCTCTCTCTCTCTGGGCCTGACAGCAGTCACAGCTGCACTGATAGAGGTTAAGTGTGACTACGATAACCAAGGTCACTCTGCGTCTGCTCGCCTTTACCTGAACCCTCACATTCATGCTGTGTCAGTCAGAAGCTTGACACACTTATTATAAGACATTAATCTTATTAGAGCAGTATGTGGTCGAAGCCCTGACTTTTGCATCATCTTGAGGATAAATCCTGAGCCTCTGGGACGGTCTGACAGCTGGTTTAGGGAGACGCTGTGACTCACACATAAACTACTTCAACTTCTCCATCTGAGCCTCCTGAATCTTCCTTCTGTGAAGTCAAGTATCGACAAATTTCCTCAACTGAAAGACACGAATCATTACTAATCCACTGCTCCACTGCTTGTGAGAGATAAGGTGTCAGTAACACTAGCTCATCGAACAACGAGTTTGCCAACTGCACGAGAGGTCAGAGAATGGCAGCTAGCCATGACACAGATCTGAAAAAGAAATTGAGACGGAGCCAGCAGAGTCACAGCCCCGATCAGAATCACAGGGTGGCATACTTGGGAGAGGTTTTTGAAGTGGAGGCTACGAGCAGCTGCAGGAGGCTCCAGTTACACAGGCTTTGCACGGGATTGGTCAGCAGGATGCTCGGAGTCTATAACACATGCTAGCTCCGGCTGGTGGGGGGGGAGTGTGAGGTCAAATACAGACATTACCTTCTGTGGAGTCTCAGAGCGCAGCAGACACCATCATGAAAGCGCGCTAGGCTGAGGGCGCCGTGCCTCTCTCTCTCCCCCTCCGTGCGTCCCAGTGCTGTGCTGCGTGGCTGCGTGGCGTCCAGCCCGGCTGCTCCTCCTGCCCTCGCTCTGCCTCCGATGGCCCGCTGAAGAAAAAGAGAACTACACGATCAGGATGAAAAAGATTTTAACTTTATTTGAACAAGAGAAAATTATTAAGTTAGCAACCTCCTGATCTGCCACAGATAGAGAATTTGGTGATTTCTGAAGGATTGTTGAGTATTCTCCTCTCCTTATTTTTATTGAGACTTGAAGTAACAGAACGTAGAGCCAGAGTACGTAGAACAGGCTCTGCAGGCAAGAACAAAAAAATAAACCTGAACCAGACTAGATCAGAACAATGCCCGAAGGAAGAATTGAACGCCCGCTCTCGCCTTCCCTCCCCAGGGACTGCGGACACGAGTGCAGAGTGTGCAAGGTGACAGTGGTGAGCCTGACTGATTACGCCGGGCACATTTCCAGTCCCACGCACAAACAGAATGTGGAGGCTGCAGAGAGGAGGCACGCCGGGAATGAGCGCGACGAGGACTACTTCGATCAGGCTTTGGTGCAGCTGGTCGAGAAGAGAAAAGAGCAGATCAGGTAAGAAAGTCACGCTTTGTTTTGATGTTGTCATACTATCTTTCAAAGCAGCAAGAAAAAAACACAAAGTGGTGTCGCTCTAAAACTAAAACTCTTTGTTGTGTGCACAAAAAAAGTGTCAATGTTCAAAAAGTTTAAGAAGTCGTCCAGTGCTGATTCATTTGTGAAAACATACATGTACACTTTGTTTTGAGTGCTTATAGGAATGATTCGAGAATAGTTTGTATTGTAATAATAACAAATAGAGGTGTAGAAAATAAGAGTTAAAATGACTCCAGTTTATATCAAGAAATTCAGTCATTCATGTCATTTCAGTTTGCTCTTCTTTGATGAAGTGTTTTCAAATAGTTTTTGGTAATCAGGATTAGATATGACAGCTCTGGTTTTATGTGTTCATGAGCCTTGTATAGTCACTTCTCACCGGCCTGATTTAGCTGCTGCTTCGAGCCGAGCTGCGGCTGGAGTCGAATGTCACGACGACGACGACTGCGGCCTAAAAAAAGCTCGACCTCAGTTTAGACAAACTCTTAACTATGCTGCCCCTTGGAAAGAGTGAAGACACAAACAAACAAACAAATGTGAGTTCTGCAAAAACACAAACGTGTGGCGAGATGTCGAAGGAAAATATTTTTTATACTTTATTTTTCGTTTTTTTCAAGAAACACAGTCAAAGTGAGGACTAGGGCAAGACAGTACGAATAAGATAAAATACAGGCACAGGTACAGTACATGATGGATGGAGCGTTCCTCTGAAGCCAACATTTAGTAATCACTTTTTTTACTTGAATATTTGACGTATTTGTGTCCCTTTTCCTGTCGGTCTGCGCAATTTGGTCAAACAGGAAACCAAACTCTCGCTGAAGTAGAGATACGCAAAGAGACTTTTTAAAGTGTTGAAAAAGACTCAGGTGTATCTGGAAAAAGGTGAACTATGAAGCTGGATATTTCAGGGTTTCCAGTGCTGTTCAGGTTAGATCACCATGGTAACGTAATGCAGGACTCCTAACCTTCTCTGTAGCAGGTTATGTTCAGGATCCTGTGAAAATCTCTCACTGACCAATCAGATCCTTTGATCATGAAGCTCTGAGACATGATTGAGAGAGATGTTTTCACACTTTTACTCCTGAAATTGTCAGACATACTGCGCCTGAAATCTAACCTGAGTTATTTGTTCACCCATGGGGGAGCGGGAGACTTCCCCTGTTGGACAGAATTAAGAGGACGCAGAAATGTTGGATGAAGGAGCGTAGAGTTTTGGCGCTAGGATGAACACTTTGACCTTTTTATCAGTGCTATCTTTAGTTTCAAGAGCGTAAACATGAGGAAGCAATTTCAGTGCATGCACAGTGACCTCACTGGTTGTGTGTCAGATTCAGGATTTAAACGTCCTCCCCCCCTCCCTCTAGCTCATGGTAATTATTCCTGAAAACATCAGCTCACCCCGGCTTCATGTGGAACACTTGTAACTAACGGGCTAGTTGGTGTGAATGTGGTGGTTTGTGATTGCTTTGTACACAAAACTCACCCTGAAAGTTTCAGGATTTTTAACAGAGCTTTGTGCATGTGTGCAAAGGGCTAAAGTTTGACCTAAACATGAGAGGTACATTCTGTGTGTGTTCATTTCTGTGTCTTCTTTTTTTAGAAAAGAGAAGGAGGCAGCCGCTGCAAAGCAGGCAAAAGAAGAAGAGGAGCGAAGGAAAAGCGAGGAGCTTCAGCAGAGGTTAAAGGAAGCCAAGGAGCGTTACCGACTGGAGTTCTCCTGGCAGCGACCGCAGTGCTTCGGTGGATCCAGTCCTCACAGAACCTGGTACAGGAGCAACCAGTACAGCGACAGAGCCGGGGAGGGACAGCCCTGGCAACAGAGCAAACAGGGAAAGAGCGCCACCTGGCACGCACAGGAGCCTCCAAACTTTCAGAGGTGGGTTTCTGAAGAGCTCACCGGGAGGAGCTGGAGCGGTCAGGAGCATGTGGGGAACAGGCCGGTCAGTCAGGGGGCAGTCCAACAGAACCGGCTGCCTTGGCTGAGCAACGGAGGCAGCAGTAACGGGATCTACGGTTGCAACAACATTTCTCAGTGCCAACAAAGAGGCCGTCCTCTGAGCCTGTTTGAGACCCCGTTGTATCCACCGCCACCCTTTTTATTTGCACAGACTCCTAACCAGTTTCAAAACGCCCCAGGAAGTCCAAATCCAGTTCCCAATGGAGAGGGACAAAAAGCCGAACCGGACCACAACAGCAGCAAGTGCTCCAAGACCTTTGGGAGCAATCCAAAGCTGGACAAAACCTCTCGCTGGTCCCCCTATCCAGTCTCAAAGGGGGTTGAATCTGTGCCTCATAAGGATTCAAACTTATCAGAGAAGCACCCCAAAGTCACCAAACCGCAGCAGCAAGACAAGGCCCCAGAAACCAGTAACAGGCAGTCCCAGCCCGAATGGAAACCAGGACAGTCTACCCCGAGTGGAAAGAGTCTGGAAGAGAAGGAGAGGCTCAAAACGAACCCCAAAAACAAACAAAGAGATCGGAGCAGCAGCGGCAGTCGAAGCAGCAGCGCTCAGAGAGAAGACCAACGGGACCCTGCGTCCGGCTCTTCAAAACAGAACGCGAATAATCCTTTGCTACATAAAGACCGAAAGGTGTCAATGTTTGGCCTTAACATCGGAAATAAACTCAGCAGGCCGTCCAGTCAGGCGCCGTCACAGTCAAAATCAAACACGAGTCAGAGCAGACCCGGTTACCAGGCGCCAGCTGTCGGGCCGCTTCAGTCGAGAAAAGAACGGCAGCTTCCAGAAACCTTCAACAAAGCCAGACAGATAGTGTTAGAGAAGAGAGCGTCTCTGGACGACAGGGTGGAAACGGCACTGCACATTACGGAGGAGGAGCAGCAGAGGGAGCGCGACGAGAGTCAGACGGGAGTGAACAAAGAGAACAGCTGCAGGCAGAACGCGGCCAAACCCAATGTGCCGGACTCTGTGAGGCCGGAGAAGCCGGCGGTGCAGTCTTCAGACAGCAGCCAGTTTCTCCAGTCGTTGCATGTGAGCACCTCGACCGCCGAGAACCCGGAGGTCGCGGCCTCGAGCGGGAAAGACGAGGGGAACAGGAAGAACAAGGAGGAGAAGGAAACATGCCAGGAAGAAGCTGTGCAGGCTGTGGAAGCAGCACAGAGCTCGGAGAGCGGCGGTGAAGCACAGCAGCAGCAGGTCTCGGGGTCAAACACATCGAACCTGTCTAAACTGGATCTGCCTCCCGTGTTGAAACGAGACCTGACCAAACACATCAGCTCCAAGAGCAAACCGGGAAGTCACGAGCCCAACCTGAACATCGCCAGGCGGGTGCGAAACCTGAGCGAGTCAAAGAGGAGCGACACGGAGAAGGGGGACTCGGGGCTCAAACCGACCGTGCGGCAGCTCATCAGCTCCTCCGGATCTCGACGCAATGTGAACTGGGAGCAGGTGTATCAGGAGGTCAGGAAGAAGCAGGACAAAGGGAAAGGCATGCCAAGGTTTGTAGTGATTCTTTCAATCAATCTTTATTTCTATAGCACATTTAAAACAACCTTGATTGACCAAAGTGCTGTACAAACACACAATGTAAAAACAACAAGTAAAATAACATATAGAATGAAGAATGAATAAAAACACGATAAATAGGAGCATGAATACAATTTCAAAATGTCAAGCTCAAATTGTATTAAAAGCCAGAGCAAAGAGGTGAGTTTTAAGCAAAGATTTCACAGCTATTTCCAACGTTTTAAGCCAGCCTGAGATTTAAAAAACTTCTGCGTCTCCTCTCCTTCAGGTTCGGGATCGAGATGGTGCCATGCGACCCGGAAGACCAAAGCCAGGAGGAGGACAGCATTCCCCTTCTCGAGGGTTTCCAGTGGGAGTCGTTGATGGACAGCTCCACACCCGCTTCCACCACCAGAAAACGCTCCTTATCAGAGAGCTCCATCGCCCCCGCGTCTCTCCACTCGCTGCCTTCATCCCTCACGTCGCAGGATGCAGAGTGGGACGAAGAGGTCGGCTCAGTGAAGCAGGAATTCTCCGCTCCTGCCAGACCTCAGTCGGACGACGGGGACAAAGACGATCGGCGTCAGCGAGACGTGGAGCAGATGCTCAGTCGGTTTGAAGCTAAAGCGCAGAAGCAGCCGGAGAAGCTGACGTCGGCGTCCATGAAGGCGCTGCAGAGGTCCGATTCGGTGCTCGGGGACAGCAGCTCAGGGGCAGAGCAGTACGACGGTCAGGGGACAGGAAAGAGACGGCGAGGGGCTGCGGTGAGTAAAAGAGAAATCCACCTGTTTCACTTCAGTTATTCTTTTTACGTACTTCACCCCACACCTCACAGACTAAATGAACAGCTGACCACCTCACAGAGCAATACAAGTGTGCAATACTAACCTTAAAAACAAAAAAAAGTGTAATTATATAATGTGAAAAATAAGAGATGTAGAAAGTAGAGACAAGAAAACATATTTATATTTTCATTTCATTGTGTTCCCTTTGTTATTTTTTTGTATTATATCTTTGCTTTAATACAGTGTATATTTTCTGTACAGTTTATTTTAATTAACTTAGCTGTTACTACATCTTATTTATTTTTACTTTTTTGTACTTTTCTACTCTTTTTTTCTTACAATGCTTTTCTATTTTATATATCATTTTAAGTTTTTTGTAGAAGCTGACTCAGAGAGAAATGCACAAAAATTCCAATGTACCTGTACTGTCCTGTACCTGTGCAAAGGCAATAAACATCTATTCTATTCTACAGATCTATGAAGCCATTGTATATTAGATAATAATAATAATAATAAAGTTTTAATAATAAAACTTTATGATGCATCATCTTATGATTGTCGTGCGATTGATTAATAACACAGAATCGCTGTATTGTGATATTATCGTTATTGCTGGTCATGGAGAATCTGCTTTAGTTTTTAACTTCTTTTTAAAAACGAGCAGGTCGTCTCTCTGTTTTTTGCAGGATGTCCCGAGTGCCGAGACTTCCTGTCTGGAACACAACAACAAAAGAAGGAAGGTCAAGTCCAAAAAGGGTGAGTATCTAAATGTGTTTGTGTTTATAGACTGCAGGGAGATATCTCTGAGTCGAGCTGTTTCACGGGTACCGATGCGTCATTAGTGAGTTTCTTTGTCTCCCTGCAGAGCGTTTACAGATCGACCAGCTGCTTGCCGTGTCTCTGCGGGAGGAGGAGCTGAGTAAATCCCTCCAGACCGTCGACACCAGCCTGATCACGGCCCGCGCCGCGCTGCAGGCCGCCTACATGGAGGTGCAGCGCCTCATGGTGGTCAAACAGCAGGTGTGTAAGCTTTGTCTTTCCTTCAGTTCTTTAACTAAACACACGTCTCTAAGTTTCTCAGACTGAAGCTGGAGTAAGTAAAGTTTACAGCTGGAATGAAAAAAACACAAAAGTCACAATAAACAGCGACTGCTTTGGGAATAAGGGAAACCTGGAATCCTTATTTTTCTTTTTTTTTTTTTTTATACTTTGTTTTGATTTTAGTTTTTGATTCATTTAGTTATTTCATTTCAACAAACATGTTTTCAACATAAGATGTTGAATGAATCAAAAAAAGAAACTACCCCCAAGAAAAGAAGCAGCAACATCTTTAGAAATGAATACACAGACATACATACACATTAAAACAATGAAATAAGAGAGAGAAAAAATAAAATGAATATAAATATATGTATAATAAAAAAATAAATAAAAAAAATGAAATAGAAAACAAACAAACAAAAACATAAGTGGAGGGATATAGCCCCTATGTTTAATGCAAATTGAGGTTTTTCACATTTCTACATTGGATTAATTTAAATATTTCATGGGTATTGTCACACAAATATGCACATACATTCATTTTCAAACCTGCATATAATTACACATTTATATTGAAAACCTTATTTTTCATACTTGCATTAAAAGTTATGATTAAGATCTGATGAGAAATCGAGCGAGAGTCTAGATATATTTTTGGTTATACTCAAAAGCTTTCAGATTTTGACCCCGCTCTCTTGTGTGCTTTTTCTCCAGATGGCTGGAGAGATGAACACACTGAGGAACAAACGCATCGAGTTACTCAAAGGGATGCAAGGTGAGGCCGTGTTTGTCTGTAAAGTTCAAGAATGACTTGAGTTTTCTGTGTGAAAGCACTATTTGAAGTTAATGTAGACGGCGTTATGATGTTATTGCTGTACTTCTCCCCGCAGGAAGCATGGACGAAGCCCCTCAAGTCAAACTAAAAGAAGAAAGGGGGGATCCAGTCGTAGCCCCGCCCTGCATCACACTCCCCCCCGTTACAGACCCCGTTGTTTCTGCTGTCCCCAGTCCTGGTCCTCCTGCTGAGCGTGCCTCCCCACCCTCCTCCAGTCTTCCCTTGGAGCCCGTTTTTATCAAGCAGGAGCCTCAGTCTCCGGTTTACGTCAGCTCAGACCCTCCGGAGCACGTCTCCCTCTGTGCTCACAGCACCACCCCGGAGCTGCCTGTGGCTCCTGCTGCAGCCCCCCCACCAGGTAACACCCGCCAACGCACCTCCAGTAAATGAGTAGATATTTCATTTTATGTGTTTGTGACATTGCACTCGATATGTTACAGTCAGTCACTAACTCTAATGTTAGACCGACTTCTATTCTCAGGTGGAAAAACATATTGTTGCTTTAAAGGCTTTATATGTGATGTTTGATCCAGCAGATGTCGCCCTTGAGCACCAGCATGAAACCAAAACAACTCACGCTGCATTGTTGTGTTAGCATGCTAATGCTAGCGATCTTTATTCTGCTGGTATCTTCACACTGCATGTAAATTTACCTGAAATGAGCGTGATCTAGAAACACAGTTAAGCAGTGAGTACAGTATGTTATTCTTCTTTTCTCTAGTCCCTCAATTAAACAACTTTTATACACGAGGGGAGGAGTCAGCCGGCCGTCCCGGCGATGTAAACAAAGTGAAGATAGGACTCTGAAAACTCTGAAAACATCACAGACAGTGGGACTCGGGTGTTACACCCATTGTAGACAGTCATGACTCACAGAGTTATTTTCAGAGGATAGACTTGATTTCTATTATATTTAAGTGTGAAAAATCACATATAAAGACTTTAACTGATCCGTGTTCATGTGATTCTCCTGCAGACCCCCCCCTTAGTTTCCAGACTTCTCCTGAAGAAAGTCTTGACCTCTACCAGACTAACACAGAGCCTTCATGGGAGAACTTCTCTGAACCTGCAGACTGCAAAGAGAGTCTGTCAGGACTGGTTGAGACGATGGAAAAGGCCTCGCAGGCAACCAGGAACTTTGTCGACCCGTCATGTGACTTCAAGTCCTCCATAAAGCTCCTGTCCCCCAGCAGGAGGGGCTCTGAGGTGGGCAGTGTGGGTTGTGATTGCGCAGCGTTACCGTCCTTTGAGCACCCCTCGGTCCTGAATCTGCCTGCTTCTCCGTCCGAGCTGAGGAGCGGGAAGCGTGTCAGGAAGCTGAAGAAGAGGAAGGTGTTGAAGAAGGCTCAGGGGGCGGAGCAACCCGAGAGCAGCGACACCGAGCTGGACGGGGAGGCGCTGAGGCCGAGGTGGCTGCGACCGCGCAGGAGACCCAGCGGGAGCTCTCAGGTCAGCACGTCCACACTGCCTGTTGAAGACAGAGAGGGAGACGTGAACATGGAGGCGGGGGAGGAGGAGGAGCCTCAGCAGCTGTTTGAAACCATCAAACAGGAAAGAGAAGATTTTAAGCCGCCAAGAAACATGACCGAGCTTCCCCCCGCCGAGCTCAGGTTGAACTCAGATCCAGAAGAAAGTATGGAGGTCACCGCAGACTGTCAGTCCCCCCCCCACGTCTCCTCCACGGCTCAGAGTCTGGCCTGCAACGAGGTCTCCTCCACCAGCGACATGGACATCTGTAAATCCTCTGAGAGGTGAGACCTGAGCGTCCCGGGGAGTTTTTCTTTTTTGATATTTTGAAGCTGCTGTAATTGACAAAAACACATTTTCTCACATCAGCTTTAAATATGTTGAACACACACACATCGAAAAGGTGCAGGCTGAAGCTTATTATGCCTTCCTGATTTCAGAATCAGAATCAGAATCAGATTTACACATATACAGCGAGGCGTACACACCGTTTATTTTTTTCATACATATGACATGAAAAACAAACAACAGAACAAACACACATCATTTGTTGTTTATGATGCATATGTCCCTGTTTTGTTTGTATATGTTAACCATTTTCCCCTGCCTTTGTCAAACTGATCTTCCTTCATTTTCAACTTGTAGGTGATTTTTTCCATCACAAGGATATCGTCTTTGATTGACAGCCACTGTCTGTGGTTTGGTGTGTCAGTCTTTAGCCAGTTCTTAGTTATGTTTTTCTTTGCTGCCGCGAGTAGAATCTTGACCGAGTATTGTTCTCCTGCATGCACAGATCTCTGTTTCTTATATTTTTACAGTTAAAACAATTCTGCTCTCTTAAATTAACTCTTAATTTCTCTCCTTTCTTCCCCCTGCAGTGATCTGCCGTTTCCCGTCGCGTTCTCCAAGACGATGAAGACGTCGTCAGGTTAGTTTCCCTCTGAACTTATTTGTGTTTTCAGAGTCGAACGCGCTCCGACTTCATATCTGAGTTCAAGATTCAAGATTTGTATTTGTCACATGCTCATAGAGATGTGCAGTGAAATGTAAAGACTGTTCCGCAAGGCCATGCAATAAACACTCAAATTACTAAAACACATAAATATAGTAATATAGAAATATAATGTAAAAAAAATGTTTCTAAATGTGTAAATGTTGATTGAATTTTCCTCTGATGGGAGCAGACAGTGAGAAAATGTTTGAACACATAACTCAGGATGAATGAATGTTGATTTGAGGAAATGTGAAACTTCTTGATTTGGTAGAAATAAACTCAGCGAGGTATTTAGAGCGGAGACAAAACATTTAACCCCAATGACAAAATGATGAAGTGCTTTCACACTAAACGCTCTTCATCTGTCACAGACGCTTCATCCGACCACGGCGAGGACGACCTACCCACTGAGGGCGTGTTCGAGGGCCATCAGGAGGCTGTGAACGCCATGCAGATCCACAACGGGCTTCTGTACACGTGCTCAGGAGACCGCACGGTCCGAGCCTTCGACCTGGTGGTGCGTGTCCGTCGAGAACATCGAGAAGACTTTTCTTTTCTTTTTTTCTGTGGATGTAACAGCTGATAATGAGTTGTGTGTTTTTGTCTTGCAGAGTCATAAGTGTGTGGGCGTGTTCGAGGGTCACAGCTCCAAGGTGAGCTGTCTGCTGGTGTCCGCTGCGCCCTCTCTGCATCACCGCCTTTACTCTGGCTCCAGTGATCAGACCATCCGCTGCTACAGCCTCAAGGTAAACACATTACTTTAGTAGGTTATTGGATACGTGCTTTTACTAATACTTGTTCTTTTTTTTGTTTTTTTTGTTCCATTGTTATGTCTGCTCCATGTCTGTCGTGCATGATATACATTTTTTATGTTAACCAAAAGCTGCTTTATGTGTATCCTGCATGGTTTATGTATTTTCTGCTAAGTTTATGCTTACCTGTCTGCTTCATTACTGTCATGATATTTCTATTTGTAGCTTTTAGCGATGTTTGAATTTGGTTTTTTTAGGTAGCCTTTTATAAAATCTGGCCAGGGACAACAGATGAAAATTAGCCTTTTGGCTAACTCTGGCATTTTTACCAAAATGTTTATTAAAATGCAATGTCCCTGTAATATAAATAAATAAATAACTGACTCTATCACTGACTCATAAGAGCAGTAGTGATTATATTCCTGCAGCTCTGAGTGAATGAATGAGTTGTTCTCTGTTTGATCTGTGCAGAGACACATGACAGGGTTTGTTAGGGAGTGATTTTAATGCTAATTTGAACAGTTTCCCAACTTTTTTATTTTGTTTTTAATCATATTTTTGTTGAATTCTTCGGTTCATGTCTGGACTCTGACTCAGACTTTCTCATGTTGTTTTACGTTCCACAGACTCACGAGCTGGAGCAGCAGTTCTCTCTGTTAGACCGAGTCCTCTGCCTTCACAGCCGCTGGAAGTTTTTGTACGCCGGTCTGGCTAACGGCACAGTGGTCACCTTTAACCTCAAGGTGAGACGTGCAGAACAACACCGTGTGCAACAAGACGATGTGACCTTACTATCTCATCAGACATTAAGTGCTGGCTTCTCTGACAACAATGCAGCAGCCAGTATGTCCTCCTTCTAACTTTAGATTCTGCTCCTGAATGCTCTGGATTTGTTTGAGGAGACAGCTCTCTTTAATGTTTTTAATTTCGACTGCAGTACTCATTTTAAACACTAGGGGTCATAGTTACATACTGCTCCTTTTAGCAAAAATAAAACATAATGCATGATAATCTGAGGTAGCTCTGATCGGTGAGTTTTTTATTCTTACATACATTTTTATTTGTTTACAGACAAACAAGCAGGTGGATGTGTTCGAGTGCCACGGCCCGCGGGCTGTGAGCTGCCTGGCGACGTCGCAGGAAGGAGCGCGGAGGATCCTGCTGGTCGGCTCGTACGACAACACCATCAGCGTGAGGGACGCCAAGAACGGGCTGCTGCTGCGCACGCTGGAGGGACACACAAAGACTGTGCTCTGCATGAAGGTAGGACGGGTGTAGAAAAGTGTTTAACAGAAACTCTTCACTTCTGTTTGATTTGTGTCTTTTCAGAGGCTGTTTTTTTTAACCCTTCACTGTTCCTCTGTTCTCTCTCTCAGGTGGTGAACGATCTGGTTTTCAGTGGTTCCAGTGATCAGTGTGTTTACGCACACAACATCCATGTGAGTCTCCAATCCTCTTGGAAACAATCGAAGAACAGTCAGACGCTCGTGAAATTAAATGATAGCTGATATGTTTGAGGAACTAGTTTTCTCTGTTTTTCTCAAACCGTGTGTGTTCTGTGTTCAGACGGGCGAGCTGGTGCGGGTCTATAAGGGTCACAGTCACGCCGTCACTGTGGTGTCTGTCCTTGGGAAAGTGATGGTAACCGCCTGCCTGGACAAACTGGTCCGAGTCTACGACCTGCAGGTCTGCACCCTGAATCCACCTGTCCTTTTCAAAATAAAAGCCTTTTCTTGAAGTCATGTTTTTTGTTATAAAACTGTTTTTTCTTTTTTATTCTCTCCTCAGTCTCACGAGCAGCTGCAGGTTTATGGTGGACACAGAGACATGGTGATGTGCATGGCCGTCTACAAGAACATGGTGAGCTCAAGTCGAGTTTATTTTTTAGATGTTACAGATGTTATGATGAATACCTTCACTGAGCTGCAGCAACGACAAGTTCAGTTGTCGTCTAGTTTAAAACCTAACTTGTAATTGAAGGTGTGTCAGCTGAGATCGTTCCAACATCTGCTGTAATAAGTGTGACGCCCTCTGTATAATCCTGTTGTCATGGTGATGGTTTTAAAAGGTGGAGGACGAGGAGGAGCAGAGGGTTTTTAGCGTCAGTGTCAGTGTGACTTTTTCATCGTTGTGTTTTCAGATCTACACGGGCTGTTACGACGGCAGCGTGGAGGCCGTCAAGCTGAATCTGATGCAGAACTACCGCTGCAGGGTAAGATTGAGAACGCGTTTCCTCCCACAGTAGCCGAAACGTTTTTAGTCTACAGATGACCTTTTTCGAGGTTCCGTCAGGCTTTTGGATTTGTGGGGACGCTGTGGTGCCCCGTGTGAGGCGTCGACTGTTGTTTGCACATTGGCTGTATGATCAGTTTGTTTTTTTATTCCTCGTGCATTTGTACTTTGATTTTATTTTTGTTGCACTTCGTCGACCTGCAAAGAGCCCGCAGATGAAATGAGCCTGTGATGCTAAATGTGTGTTCAGTGTTAAATCGTGCACAATGTCCCATCTCTAAATAAACACAAAAACAGTTTTCTTTGACTTCCTGCTTTAATCGAGTCTTATTGTGAAGCGTCGTTCAGCTCGACTGTGAGCAGAGATGTGCCGCCCTCCTAAAGATGTTGTGACTGACTGAGGTGTGTGTGTTGTTGTGTAGTGGCACGGCTGTCCGCTGGTGTTCGGGATGACAGAGCACCTGCAGCAGCACCTCGTCAACGACCACACGAGTGGTGCCAACGTCCAGACGCTCAAGTGCCGCTGGAAGAAATGTGAAGAGTTTTTCTGCGCACGCAACAGCTCCAAGCAGGTACGAGAAGAGATGAGTGTGAAGCCCGATTTTTACTTTTGATAACAGACAGATACTCCGCATAAAGACGCTTTTTAGCGCTGTGATTTCTGTGCTGGTCATATCGCCAGTTTCCCATCTCTGCTTGAATGTGTGCAGGTAACCATGGCGACTGAAACCAAGCGTGTTATGTTAGAGTTGGTAAATGTTGAGCAGCTGTTTATGATTCTGCAGTTATGGCTTCTGTAGAATTAAAAAAAAAAAGGAAAGTTTTATAAGTGCAGGAAATGCGATGCTACCCAGCAGACCAATGACAGGGCTCGTATTTGGGCCTGTTACTCTGTCAGCTTTATTTTCTAAAATATAAGACATCTGAAGACCATGAAGGAGGACGGCGGTGGTTGTGGGGACGACACGGTCCGATGGCGTTGGCAGGTCGTCAGGTGGTAGTAGTCAATGACAAACAGAGATAGTATGTTTCTTGTTTTGGCGCCGGTTATGACCCTCAGTAGCCTGTGTTCAATATATTTTTATATCGATCAATAAATACAAAAAGCATGAGACTCCACATGGGGTCACGACCCCGAGGTTGGGGAAGCCTGGCCTTGATGTCAGATTTGATTTTGACGCGTTTTGAACCAAATTTCTGCGTTCAAATCGGAGCTGGAACTCACCTGACATGACGCTTCAGACATTGATGTTTGTTTGTTTGTTTGTTTGTTGCAGGGGATCCTGCTGCACATGCAGAAACACGGCGAGGAGGAGACGGAGGCGGAGCCTTGAAGAGCTGCAGAGTTCCTCTCCTCTTCCCCCCCTCCCCCCCTGCCTCGTCTTTAACCTCCCATATTGGGGGGGCATTATCTTATCTTGGGACCCACTTAACTTAGCAGCGCTCCCGTGGCGCCTGACGAGTGGCGTCCAACGACTCCATCCTTTATGTTCCGTGTTGGAATCCAACCTTAATAACACAATGATGATGGGAGGACGCTCGGGTGTGCTTTTTTTAACCTTCTACAAACACGCCTTCCTCTCTCTCTCTCTCTCTGTCTGACCACGTTTCACTGACCAAAGTACGACACAGAAACTTGCTCATTGACTTTTGTTTGTTGAAGAAACTTCAGAGTTGCCGGCGTCGGAGGGAATCGTTTTCACTTTCACTGAAACTGCGACGAGAAGCGCTGAATGTGCGCGGCGGGATGGTCGGCTCCATTATGGCATGGGTTAGGAGATGTTTTTATTGTTGTTGTGATGTGTTTGTTGAGCAACTTAAACGTCTTTTCTTTTCTTTTTTCGATTAGACTGACAGTCATCACCGCTCGTATGAACCGGACGGCGTGATGATTTGAGTTTCATTGAAGTGAGACTATTTATTTCTTTCTGGTTTGTTTTTTTGTTTTATTTCCACTTCTCTAACGGTTTCTTTTTTTTTTCATTTTGGTTTGTTTTCTCGTTGCTCAGACGTTGAAGGACTTTGGCGCCGTGTTGTGTCGGCATTTGAGATTTTGACTTTTGCAGTGATAACCGAACCGAGGCGTTTATCGGAGTGGAGCGTTAACCTCGGTGTTCCTCGAGTGAGCGTGCAGAATTGTTTTTATGACACTGTTTCCTCCTCGGAGATGTTTGTTTTTTATTTTGAGTTTTTATTTTATTTTTTAAATGTGGGGGATTGAGCGAGCAGAACGCCGTTTCCCACAGAGACGAAGCGTGGAGGTGAAGGATGATTCATGAAGGTGTGCGATGGAGGAGTGAGACGGGGAAAGGTTAAGAGTTCATCTCCCATGCCATACTTCATCCAGGCGAAACAGGCGAAACAAAACGCCCCCTTTTTAAAAAAAAAAACACGGCTTGTTCAGATATGTTGAATCAGTGAGGGGCGGAGCCTAAGCTCTCACGCACACTGTTGTTGTGGCTACAGCTCGCTCTCTCTCTCTCTCTCGGTTGCGTCCTCCTCTTGAGGGTTTGTTCTCATAGCCGCCATCTTCCCAACTCGCCTCGCCCGTTTCTTTCATGACTCGAGGAAAGCATGCGGTTCCCCTCCTGACCCGGCATTCCTGAGTTTCTTCAACTTTTTCAGTTCTTATCGAAGTTGTGAAGAGATGTTTTTTAAGAAAGTGCAATCTATGACGTTAACAATAATTATGACAATTAAAAAAAAAAAAAAGTTTTAACTGCTAAACAAGTCTCTCTGTCTTCTGTCTCTGATGTGCTGATTCATGTGAAGCAAAAACATGAAGGTATTTTTAAACCTGTGCCTCATTTTTTCCCATATTTTCTGAGGTTATCCGCTTGCTTTTGTCGATGGAGTCTGCTGAATTTAAAGTCTTTATATGTGATTTTAAAACTTAAATGTAGAAATCAAGTATCTCCTCTGAAAATAACTCTGTGAGTCATGACTGTCTACAATGGGTGTAACACCCGAGTCCCACTGTCTGTGATGTTTTCAGAGTTTTCAGAGTCCTATCTTCAGTTTGTTTACATCGCCCGGACGGCCGGCTGACTCCTCCCCTCGTGTATAAAAGTTGTTTAATTGAGGGACTAGAGAAAAGAAGAATAACATACTGTACTCACTGCTTAACTGTGTTTCTAGATCACGCTCATTTCAGGTAAATTTACATGCAGTGTGAAGATACCAGCATAATAAAGATCGCTAGCATTAGCATGCTAACACAATAATGCAGCGCAAGTTGTTTTGGTTTCGTGCTGATGCTCAAGGGCGACATCTGCTGGATCAAAAAAATCACAAAGCCTTTAAAGAGACAGCAGCAGAGGCTGAAATGAGGGTTTTCACTGTTTCAGATAAATGAGAGGTGACCATGAGGAGACATTAAATATACTTGTAACACAGTCACACCAACAACTACACATTTATTTATTTTGGTTAAAATATTTAAAAATGCATTACACTCATTTGACCAAAGCCTTAATAAGAAAAAAAAATAAAATCACAAAAAAGCCGCAGTCCAACCCGTTAGCCATATTCTGTAAATCCACATTTTGAACCACGAACGTCTCTGTTAAATAAAAACTCGTCAGCTCCACAGTTTGGTTCTTGAATCTCATCCATCCACGTGAAGGCTGCTAAGACTGGACACGAGGCGGAGGGAGCGATGTCGGGAGATGGTGGGATGTCGGGGTCCCGTCGACTTGAACTTTTCGATGAATTAAAGACGCCTGAGCTCGGGGGAGCAAAAGTGACAGATTCAAGCAGGATTGTTAAATCCACAAAAAAACAGGTGATTAAAAAAAAAAAAAACATCTGTGGAGAGAGTTTCTCTTTTTGCTCAGGAGGCCCCCGGGGAGTCCCTACAGAAAAATGTTTGTTTGTAAAATCAGAATAAGAGCAGCTCCAAGTCACTGCGTTGAAAACAGATAGAGTACCGAGGAGAACACGAGGGGGCGGGAGAAGGAGCTCTGTGAGGTATTGTGACAGAAAAAAAAAAGAGGTTTTGTGTGTTTGATGCCTGAGAAAAGTACCATAGTGTCTTTAAAAAAGGCTCATGACTGAAAATGAAGACTGAAGAGAGGAAGAAGAAGAAGAAGAGCAGAGAAAAGGAGGAAGCGTGGTGAACATCTTGGAGGAGAGAGAGAGAGAGAGCGGAGGTCTGGAGGTGAAGTGGATGAGAGTGAACGACGATCGGGCACACTGAATATTTGAGGTAAAGGCTGGCAGGTCTGATCCTCGAGCGGGGGGAGGAGGAGCTCACCTGGGAGAAGACGCCACATTTCAGGCGTACATGGTCAACTGGAGCCACTGCAGAAAAAGAGAGGACAGAGAGAAAAAAAAAAAAAAGTAGAAGAAATAATCGATTGGGATGTCCTACGGTTTCAGATATACACGATTGTTTGGATCAGTCATCAAGAAGACCTTATCATCTCTCCTACATGTACGCACCCGCCTTTGAGAAGCTGTCTGAGTGGTTAAAGGAGCAGAATGTAACTCTGACTCCTAGTGGTTAAAATGGGTACTGCAGTCTAAATTCTAAACATCATAGAGAGCTGTCTCTCCCCCCCTCCTCTCTAGAGTGGATGCTCACTCAGGTCACCATGTGGTGGACTCTGAAGCTTCAGTGTTTATCCAGCTCTGCATGGGTCTGTAAACCTTTCTGTGTTCTAACCTCTCTCCATTTTTCAAAAGCATCTCCAATATTGATCCTAGTTTGAGCACGTTTCTGCTCGTGGAGCTTATTAGAAACATGCAGAGGCTTTTTAGGTCGGGTACAATCACTTCTATCTGAACCACTTCTCTTGACCGCTTCCATCGCTGCAACACCTGTTGACCTGATAACTGCTTTTAGGTGATGTGTGTGTGAGAAATAGAGAGAGAGAGAGTGTGTGAGTTTGAGCTGTGGATTTGATGACTGATATACAATGATCTGACTTCAACCTCCCTCATGTGGGAGTTTTTCTAATGACAGCTGTGAATGCTCCGTCCTGATTTAACTCGTGCAGTGTGAGCTCTCAGGTCATGCAAAGGGAGCACATAAATCGTACAGTGTACATCAGGCTTTGAGGGCAGAGTGAATGCCCAAATAACTAAATCATGTTGCAGAGTTATAAATGCATGCTTTGAGGTGAACAACATTTCAAACACTTGTTTTTGAACGGTCCCCCTCTGCTGAAATTTCAGAGCGTCACAAGAATCTCATCACTTTCTGAGAAGGAACATTTAGATCTCCTACCTCCAGGACACTGAGTCTGATGGTACCATCTCCATCCTGGTCAAAGGCCTGGAATGCCCCTGGAGAGAGAAAACAGGTCACACTTCATCCCAGACTTAACAATGATGCAGCTCGTCATCACAGAGCAAGAGAATTATTCAATATAATACTTTGACAGGTCGAGGTGAATCTTCCTAAAACATTTTTCCTGCTGCGTTCTCAAATCATCTCACCCTGACTTCACACAGAATATTACGAGGCAGGCTGGCAAAAAGTCCAGATAAAGTCAGTTAGCGTTCACACATGCAGCTCATGTTGAACATTGTGGAAACAGGACATTTTGCTCCTGTTATTTCCATTTTCATCTATATTAAAAAAGGAAATAATCTTCAGAAATTTAAAGGGGTAATAATGGATTTGAAGTGTCTAAAAATGTAAATTCTGGTTGGCGTTTTTTGTTTTGGATTTTGAAAATTAAAAAAAATCAGAGAATCAAAAAAGACTAAAGTACTTTGAGTTTTCTCTTCCATCTTTCATCACAAGAAGTCCACTGATTTACACAAGTCGTATGTGTGGAAACAGCTTTATTCATGTGAGGCACTGACTTACTGAACATGGCTTCGAGCCGGACCAGACAGCTGATGAAGCTGTCGAAGTCGATGTTCATGCTCTCGTTAGCGTAGCGCATGGTGATGATGTCGTACAGCTGGTTGTTGAGACGGAAGCCTGAGCGGGACACAAGACACATGACTGTACAGTGACAAGAAGATTTAGAGTTTAGAGTTCATTTAGAGTTCAAAGCTGTCAGTTCATCGAAAGAATCCTACGGAGCGACACACACACACAGCATGCAAAATGTCTCGTGATGAAAGCTCTTCAATCCATCACTGCTGATTTTGAAAAGCTCACCTGCATCGTTGACGGCGTTCCTCATCTCGTAGCTGTTGATGGTGCCGGTCTGGTCGGCGTTATAGTGCTTAAAGATTCCCTGACACGCAGAGACGGGAAAGAAGAGTTTAAGTACCTCGATCTTCTACGTCAGTGAAAGAAGCAACAGCACAAAGACGAGCACCGCTAACTTTTTTTAAACTTACTTAAAGGTCTCATATTCTGTAAAATCCACTTCCCCATGTTCCTCTAACTCTAACATGTGTCTCTAGTCCGTCTACAAACCCCCAATGATGAGAAAAGTTCATCCTCTCCGTCTTCTGCCTGCTCCACTTTTCAGAAAATGTGTGCTCAAACAGGCCGTTTGGAGATTTTCCCTTTCTGACATCACAAAGGGCAGTAGCCCCTCCCCCAGGTGGGTGACACTCCCACAGTAGGTGTTTGTTCTGCCCTCTGAGTCTGCCTTCTCACAGTAAACAATAGGACATGGAGCGAGAAAGACCGAGACACTCAAGCCCTTCCAGAGAGGGGGCGTGGTCAGACACAGCTTATTTACATATTTAAAGGTACAGACACAGAAACAGCCTGTTCTGAGCAGGGCTGAAATAGAGGGGTTTATAGACATGATCAAATACAGGATCAGAGTGGATTTAGAACAAGACACGTTGTAATATTTATGATTCCAGATCGGGTTGCCTCTGACAGAATACCCACAAAAGCCAATGAGAGCTCGTGCATGTGTGTGGTAGGCGTGGCGCTTGAAGGAGCTCTGAGGTGAGTCAGGACGGGTAGGAGAAGGAGGTGTGAACTCACCTGCCACTGTTTGATTTTATTCCACAGATGTCTGAACTCCTGGAGATTGAGTCGACCCGTCCCGTCCATCTGAACACAAACAGTCAAGACCAAAACCTTCGGACACATTAAGTCAACGTTCAATCAAAAAAGAGAAAAGGCGTCAAATGACATTTCAGGAAAACTAAAATATTCTAGAAAAGATTATATATAAATATTGGCCGTCCCATAAAGTGATTCTCCTCATCATGACCTCAGCTTTAATTTTTCACTGTAAACACACATTCAGAGGTCAGAGCCAGACTCAACATGTGACATAACTAATGTGTGGAATACTTGATTCTGATTGGCTGATTACGCACAGCATCAGTCTGCTATCCTACAAAACATCATAACTGTTCAGAAGTGGTGAAAAGGAGGCCTCGTGCCCTCTGAGCGTCCATCACAGACCCTGCCAGGGGTCTCGGCAGGGTGTGCCTCCTACAGACAACACAGCCAGCCCGATGCACTCGATACAAAGGATACGTCCATCAGAGCAATCATGCTCCTGCAGCTCTCCAGGCTGAAGCCCTCCGTGTTCAGGTCCTTATCTGCACGGGGAGACACGGGGTCAGAGGCATCCAAACATCTCCATCAACAATTACAATTTATCGTGCTTAATTCAGGAAGATGCATCACAACAGATACTAAACATGAAGCGACATAGGGCTGCAGCCTGACAGAAGAGAGAATAGTTGTTTTGTTTGTTTTGTAATTTAGGACTGAACTCTGCAGAAAAAGTGAAAACAAATGTGCACGCTCGTACAGAAAACATATGCATATAGTTTAACGTACGTCT